GTCTAACATCCTCATCTGTCCTCATCACATACTCAGGCAAACGCAAAACCCACTCAGGCAAGCACAGAACGACCGAGCTGCAAATTAAACTCCCCAGAAGCCCCACCACAAGTCATCCCTGAATGCGCGAAACAAGAGCAGTCTGAGATGGAGAGTTTTTCTTCAGAGCTAGAGTCCAAGGTGATGGGCTAAAACCATTCCCATCCACATTGCAGCACGCTGCTTCTCCCTCAGGATTGCGACGTTTTACTGGCACTTCAGCACCGCGCTTTCCCCATTGCCAGGTACTCTGGGCATGACAGCCCCGTAAAGGTTTCTCTTCCTGTCTTCAGTAGATCAAACTTGTGCTTTTAAAGATGTGGGGGGGAGAAAAAAAAGAAAGAAAAAAAAAAGACCAAAAAAAAGTTTATAGATTTAAAAGCCCCTGGGCAGCAAATTGCCAAAATCCAAACGAATGCTTCATTTGTGATTGATTATCAGTCTTTTCTTCCTTTCTGCCTGCGGTTTACCATTACAATGGCCTTTTTGCCTCAGCCCACTGCACTAAAAGAATGGAAGCGTCTTCTCCCTCTCCAGCTCTCAGTTACTCTGTTCGCTTACTTCACAATTTTCTGACTTGTCAAAAAGAAAAAAAAAAAAACCAGGCTGGGGGAGGAGGAGAGAGAAAGTCCATTCCTAAAACCCTTTAGAGGGATTTAAAATGTGAAATAACTCCATACTTATTGGATTAAAAAGGGGGAAAAAAGGCTATCGGGAAAACCGGAGAAGCAGGTGGAATGAATCCTTTGGGAAAAACATTAAGATGAAAACTGAACTCTTTTAATGTTCAGTGCTCTCCCTGGATGAGCTGCCAGAGCTGCAGCAGCTACTGCTGCTCTGAGGGAGGGTGAGGAAGTGAGGGGGAGAGAGAGAGAGAGATGGATTAAGGCAAGTAAGGCAGCGCTGCCCAATTGTGCACACCAAGCATGCAATTATAAAATGCAGTGTGCAAAGCTGGGGCTCACCCTTTTATTATGCCCCCGGAAACCACCATCTTTCTATTGTATTTGCCAAGGAATTGTAACAATCCAAACTGCCAGTTGCTGAAAACACAATGGACCTGTTCCAAATCAGCTCAGTGGAGCACTGCTAATAATTCTGCTCTCATAAAGTGCTTTTCCTCCACATGGAGCCCAGCAACTTCCATGGACATATTTCTTTTCCTCATTTACATTGTCAGAAAAGGTCAATGCTTTCCCAAAATATGGAATAAGAAATAACACAAAGAACTTGGGATACTTTTATTAATGTAGGCAGTTGACTCCTCCATAGAACATATCCACGTGTGTGCATCTGTTCTTGCATATATGCACATAGGCTTAGGCATCTGACTGTGTAACGTATATCACTGAAGGTGTTCAAAACCTTTCCTGACTTTAACTGGACATGGAACAGAACAATAGAGAGAGGAATCCAGAGCCCACTCCCTTTCCTGCTGGCATGGCTGAGGAAACACATAGTAGTGCCTCTGCCTTTAAGGCACTTTTGATCTTACAGTGCCTGATCTTACAGGCACTTTTGATCTTACAGTGCCTGGGATGTGCATTATTTCTCCTTCTGGCTGTAGAGATCTTGTGTTAACCAAACCCGAAAGAACTGCAAGGAGAAAAGCTTTGAAGCTGGGATTTTAAACCAGGAATCTTTGCATTTGTTCATGCCGCCCCATTCCCATTCCCTTTAAGATGCTACAGGTTCCCAGAGCCTTCGATTTGCCCCACATGTCCCAGCTCTCATTCCCAATAGCCATGAAGAGGAATGCAGGAAAGAGGCCCCTCGCTTTATTTTTCATGGTAGATGATCCTCAATCCTTGCTTATACTGAGCTTTGTCCCCTCCGCTTCCCTCCCAGAGGCTGAGTTTTCATTAGCCTCACATCCTGGTCAGGCTCACGGATTGCTATTATCCAGAACTCACCCTTTAGCCTGACTCAAATCAGATTTCTGTGGTCTTACACTCCTAAGGTTTCACTGTAAAAACCCTCATTCCAAGGCACCACAAAGAGCAATTCATTTCCATCCCCTCCACAGCCATTCCAGAGACAGGCGAGGGCTCTGGGAGCTCTCCTGGGGCTGTACCTCCTCCTATCCATAGCCAGCAGGACTAGTTAAGGCTGTGGAATAACACACCAGCTCGTTAACAAGCCAAGGTTCTTCGGATTACATCTATTTCCCATACACTACGTTGGTCACTACACCTGTCTGCAGACACCAGATTTCCACTAAGAGCTGACACAGTCAGTCCTGTGTGCCTGATGATTAACAGCTATCAAAATATTTCTGAGGTACAGTTTTTCTTCTACTCCAGCATTGTGATTAAGTTCAGCTGCTGAATCCAACATCATTTATGCCAAGACCTCCATTAAACTTACCACCACAGCAAGCACGTAATTTTCTCCCCTTTCAAGAAACAAATTTCAGTGCTGAACACAATTAAAGCAAAATTGTCACTCCCTTAACAAACAATTCAAAGTATTAAATACAAACCTTTTTTTTTTTTTTTTTAATCTTGCCTCTGCCAAGAAGCTCGAATAGCTTGAGTACCTTAGCATTGTTTGCTACATGAAAGTAATGGTTTTAGGAGTTCCTCCAAGGACAGAGCTGAGATACTTTCTGTTGAGGGGCAACAGAAAAGCGATTTCTGGGCTCAGAAAAGCGATTTCCACACAGAATAGTGAATAATGTATTTGAATTGCAATTTTGCACCGTTGCAGTGTAAGGGAAAATGAATTTGGAATAGCCATGTCAGAACCCTTTCCCTCATCAAGCATCACACTGCTAAAGCAAGAGAAATTACCACTGATTTCACTCTTCAGAGTTCACAATGCACAGAGTGCGTGTATCATCAATAAAGGCACTGCCGCCTTGCTGTCAGTTGCTCTGACTTTTCCTATATGCCTTCGAATAGTGTTTCTTTTGCGAATGAAGTTCAGTGAAGCAACACTGCCCCCTTCTGCTAAAACCAGAAATTGTTACAGTTTAAGTTGATCGACCTAAATGCAAACATTTCATTAGTCAATAGTTTGCTATGCTTTTCCGTTCAAAAATGGAGCAGATTCTTTCCTGAGTATTCAGAGTGGTGTTTCTGTTCTTTCCTGGGTCCCTGAGCTGGCAAGTCATTAAGTCAGATTAAAAGTAAACCCAGAAATCAAAGACAGGAAATTCAACTCCTAAATTTTGTACACATCTCTTACTGCCTTTTTGTCAGGGGAATTAAACATTAGGCTTAGTTTAAATCTACCTGCTGCTTAGCTGTATGTGGTAAGTTCAGAGGAAGCAAATTCACAATTTATCTTTAAAGAGGAGTTTTTTAAAATAATGTGAGTCCTCTTACCTTTCACAAACACAGCCAAGGTGTGACTGGCTCACGGTCATACAGGCAGCATGAAAAGGCTCAAAAGGGAAAGAATTGCTTCTTTTTCCTTGCTTTTTCTTCTCGACAGGGCTCTGTGTAAGCTGAGGAGCTTCAGGAGTTTTAAATAATACACAGCCTTAAGGCACCAGTGGGCCCAGCTTCTTCCTCTGCCCTGGAGTCCTGAAGCCATTCACCTAAATCTGCAGGAGGACGGAACAGAACAGAAGTGTCAGAAGGCACAACTCTCCTGGGTCAGTCAGGATCCCTTCAGAGGTGAATCGTTCTCTCTTGGGATAACAATTCCCCTGAAGGTTTAATATATTAAAAAAAAAATAGAAATTAATAAATAGAAAATATGGCTTTCCTATACTTACCTCCCGTCAGCTTGAGCTGACTCTGAGATATGCATTTCCTCAGCTCTGGAGAATGTCACTCTGGCATCTAAAAAAAGAAATTCAGACCACAGAATAAGCTTGTTTTCCTGAACAGGCCTCAGATAAAAGTATGAAAAATCAGACAGAGAAAAGGAAAGAGAGAGATCTGAGAGTGAAAGAACAAAGCTGAGAAACAGGGGTAAGCTGCGAAATCAGTGAATCCACATCCATTTCTGTGTTAGAAAAGGCACTTGCCTTTGAAGTCTGAAAAGGAAAGATTTTCTTTGGAGAACATAAGAGAGTCTCTCCACGTAATATTGCCTCCAGCACAAAACCCTTCAGCTCTGGGTCCCTCAGTTCCTCAAAGCAAACTGCAAAGCAACTAACCAAGGTGAGGAACAGATGCATCCCTCTAAGAAGAGCACAAGTACTGTCACAACTGAAGGAGGTGAATTTAGGGCATCAACTCACAACTGGTTTCCTCTCTGCATCTGATGCCATCACCCTACTGAAAATAGTGTTTGAATCAGGAACCAGGGATCAAAACAAGGGCCATCACAGTACAACATCACAACCCTACAACCTTCCCACCCCAAACAGGATGATTTACTAAACAGTTCAAGCCATTATTAAGGCCTTTAACCAATTCTGAAACGGCTGATGGGTATGGGCCAGGTATTTCAGTAGAGTTTCTGCTGGCATAAATTACTCCAATCCCTCCCTCTGAAGCTCTATCCCCTCTGCACACCTCATAGTCCTCTCTCTGGGGAGAGTGGATTATTTAAACAGAAGAAGTCTATATTTGCATCTCGATGGCAAAACTGTGGTGATTTCACATTTTTTATTCTCAGAAGTATTCCCAAACGGGAGGAAAGTTATTCAGGAATTTGATCCTAAGAGAGGTACTCTGTCCCCAGGTTGTAACTGCTGTTTCAGGGGGAAGTAGCAAAGAGACTCGGGTGCTCCAGATCAGGACTCCCGGGAAATATGGGACAAAAAAATTCACCTGCACCCGGACAGGTGGTGATGTGCAGAAAGCACCTTGCCATGGCCCTGATGGGGAAAAGGTATCAAATTTCCCGCTGAAGCCGGACTTTGAATGACACTTCGGGGACAAATCAAACCGTGAAGGCGGGGTTTATTGGGGTCGCTCATGCACATGATCGGTGCCTGGGGGAGGAGTCTGTTCCCAGGGCTACGTAGTGGGGCAGAGGGGTAGGGGTGAGGAGCAGGTGGCTCTCAGCGGCGCTTGGGAAGTTGGATTCCCAGCTCACAGCACGGCAAAGGTAGGATCGAACGCACAGTGATCAGTGTGCCCCTCCCTTTGACAGCCCTACAGCCAGGAACTAAACTTGAGTGCACCATCCAAAACACAGGAGAAAAAAAACCCCTCAGCATTGCCTGCCCGCGGTAGGGGCTGGCCCCCTCCCAGGTGAGTTTTCATGCTTTGTTTACACCTCAGACTGCTGGATATTGTAAAGCAAATTTACCTATAAACTCATTTGCCTCTTTCCTCTTTGGATAGGAGGGTGGTGCGTCAAAAAGCCCTTCCTCGAGCTGTTCTCCACTCGGGATACCAGTGTAGCAAGAATGGGGACCTGAGGTCTGTTTTCAGCTGGTTAATTCTTACTTTTCTTTACTCAGTCTGAAATAGGCCACATAAAACTACTCTTCTAGTTTGGTGTGTCTTTTAGCACCGGGTGAATTGATTCCCTCTCTTGTAAATTAAAATGGTGTGTTATCCTGGAGGAACGGTTATGTGTTTTTCTTCTAGTGAGGTATTTAAATGTATAAATATACCTGTCTGTCTCCTGAGTTTGCTCAGACATAACCTCTCCAGCTCCCTGAGGATTTTGTTGTGGGCCCAGTTCATACACCTGCTCCAGAAAACTCATATCTGGGAGAAGGTGTTGGCTGTTCTTTAGAATAACCTGAAAAGAGGGTCAGCTTCCTGTATGTTCATTCCAGAAATCAAAATCCCAAATGGGACAGACAGACACGTAATTTCCTTTGCTGAAATAAAGGAATTACCTCTTGACTCTGCACCTGCTCCCTCACCCTGAAAACACTAACCAGGCAGTCACTTTTGGGAACCCAAAAATATGTAATCTCTGAAGAGATTGGTGTAAAAATAAAAATACTTCAGTTTTTATTTCTGAACCGGATTTTGGAGAATTTGCTTTTTAATCTTTTGCTTTTGCCCTCTGACCTGTTCTCTGTAGGTAGGGAGCCTCTTCACCCCAATATCTGCCTTCCGTCAGCTCACGGTCACCCCCACAAAATGTGCCACCTTGCCGGCCAAATATCACGAGGAAGATGACCCAGGCACTTCCCTGCCCCGGCGTGAGGGGATTTTTATCTCCCGTCTCAAACGGCATCATTAAAACACTTGGAATCCCAAACCACAACATGGTGCCCACCGCATGAGGGAGGAGCGGCCATTTTGGGCACTGAGGGGCTCGGCGCCACCGCTTCCCCGTGCCACGCTGGGATGAAGCGGGCGGCTCCCGGAGGAGCGGGTGGCCAGCTCGGGATGGCCTCTTCCCGGGGGGGAGAAGGCGGGAGGGAGAGGCGAGGCGGTTCTCTTCTCGGCGGGAGTTGTCGGCAGCAGCGCCCTGCGGAGGCGCGACCCCGCAGGAGCGGAGGTGAGGGGTGTCATGGAGGACTGAGGGCGCGCCGGCGGTCCCGCTGTGCGCGCGGCGGGCAGGCGGGCGGGCGCAGGCGAGGGGTCCTGGCAGGCTCTCGGTGCATTCGTCTCAAAGCTGACACCGAATAATAGACTTTTTCTTTATTTTTTCCCTACTTGTTTTCTTCTTCTTGTTTACTTTCCTGTCTTTTTCTCGTCTATTTCACGTCTATTGCATCTCTTTTTTTCTCCCTCTTTTCCCCTCCTCTTCTTTTACTCTTCTTTCTTTTTTTTTTTTTTTTTTTATTCTTCTTTTTCCCCGAGGTAAAAAGTTGACAGACTTGTCCTCCAGGGGCTGTTAGTAACAATCACGCTCCGCAAAAATCAAACCATCCAAGTCTAAAAGTTTTTTTGTAAAAGAAATTTTCTGTCTGTAAACACCCTGGGCAGGTGGCACTGCATAAACCTGCTTCTGAGTTCATCCTGACAAAACAAAGCAGAAGGCTTGAAAAAGGGGGAGAAACAAGTTATACCTGTGAAAATTCAGAGATTTTACTGCTTAGGGTGATTTTTTTTTTTTTTCACCCAGAAGGATTGGTCTTAGCGATTTTTTTGGTATGCAGTTGTATGTCTAATATTCGAAAGTTTCCCTTAAAGAAGGGCCATCAATGAGTTTGAAAATTAATGGCTAGCTGAGAACAGGGGTGGTGTTTTTTGATTTACTGATTCACTCAGAGTGATGAATCAGACTGAAGTGTCACCTCACCGCTAGGGGGTAGCAAGCAATGTTTTTGTTTCAGTAATTGTTCCATCCAGATATTTATTTGCTCATGACTTTTGCTGCTTTTTCCTTCCATGCTGACAATTCCCTGGTTTATTTACTGCCTCAAAAATACTATTTTGGAAGAGTCTCTACACCTTACTTTTCTAAGTGTGATTGGTAACTTAGTTGAATGCGTAGAATTTGTTGGGACATAAAAAGTTCCACCGTTAAAAGATTGAAAGTAATAATTTTGGTGATTAAATTGGCTTTTTTTCTGCCTGACTTCACTTAGAGCTTTGTCCTTCCTTGTTTTAGAAGGCTTAATTTGTCCTGTTATCCAAAGGGTGTTATACATTAACCTCTTCAAAGTAACAGGATTGACAACACGATACTTAATAGCAGAACATCAAAATTATTGCATTGCCGGCTACTGAAAGAAGTTACTGTTTACAGAGATGAAAATTAGTAACCGGTATTTTCTTTTTGGAAGAGGAGCGAGCAGCTGGGAAGTGAACACGAGCAGGAGGGGGCAGCACTGGCTGGTAAAGCTGACAGTGCCTGCAGCTTGCAAATAGCACCCAGAGCCCGATGGAGAGAGATCGTTGTCTGGTTTGTGATTGTGGTGTACAAAATGTTAGGAGTAGCCTTAATTTGGGAGAAGGGTTATGCTGCTTGTACTCTCTGCTCGCTGCCCTATGCTTTTGGCTTCTCTGTGGTTTTGTTTATGTCAAGCACTTCTTGCATAAATTGTGAAACGAAGAAAAAAGGGGGGAAAAAACCAAACAGAAAAACCCACAAACCCAGGCAAAATAGAGGAGAGGCAAACCAGCCATTTTGACAATCAGGAGGCTGGGGCTGCTTTTCCTTTCATGGTTCTTACAGTTCCTAATTTCTCCACCTCAAACTTTCCTCAGAGAACAAGCAAGAACCCCAAAGTCAGTGCACCCATCAAGTCAGCCACCTGGAATCCACAGTTTCTCATCTCCGTTCCAAATCAGAGGAAGTGAAGAGGAAGTATGAAAACCAGGTGTGTATGGATTTGTGTGGTGGTGTTAGTGCCAGTGAAACTGGGTATCTGGGTATCTCAAATGCTGCACATACACCAGGGAAGTCTTTTGACAAGGGCTCTGCTGAGCTAAAAAGAAGACGTTTGGACTTGTTTCAAGTAGAACCTGATAGAAAACCAGAATAAATCCACTGTACTGCTTAAAACAGAATACATTAAGATAATTCTTAATGGATATTTGTCTTTTTCCAGATCAAAGACCTCGAGAAGCAGTTGCACCTAGCTCGCTCTGAGCCAGCAGAAGCTCACGCAGAACAGGATCAATGTGACCAAGAATCTGGAAATCTGAGGGACCAGATTCATCAGTCATTGGTAAAAACAAGTGATTGCACTGAAAAAAGTTTTGCTTTCTTAAAGTCTGTCCTTACTGCTGGTGTTCACGTTTGCATCTTGGCTTTTTTCCCCTTATAATTAAGTTTGAGGATTATTTTTAACTAGAAATTTGAATTAGCTCTGAAAGGCCCAGAGGCTTTTTCCATTAGCAATGCAGGACATCCAGAATTAAGATTAACTTTGTCCTAAATTCAAAAATCACAGAATCCTATGCAAATCTCATTAAAGATGCTGAGCAACTTTCACTTTAACCTCACATTTACTGCTTTGCTGGTTTGCATTTGGTGTTGACACGGCATCATTTTCTTTCCTTATGTAGCTTATACTGATTTGGGCATATATACAAATAACATGAAAGGTTTCAGCATTGAGGTGTTACATGCTTCAAAATAATTACAGCAGCAATATATGCAGTTGAAATATACAAATTTGGAAGGAAAAGTGGAGGAGATGTCAGACTGGTTTAGCCAACCTTCCTCCTCTTGCCAAGTGGAAACCCCTGCAGCGGTTCCTATTCCAGTGTGTGACTGGGCCGTTGAATGCTGCTAACGTTAAGAGAACAAAAGAATCTTAAATTTGTTTAGGAGGGAGATGACTTTGATTTCTCACAGATTAAGCTTCATAAAAAAGAGATAGAACTAAGCCTGGAAAAAGAGCAGAAAAAGCGATTTTGGGATCAGACCACAGAAAACAGCATCACCATGGACCAGCTCAGGAGACAGCTGGACAACAAAAACCAGCAGCTGCAGAGCATGGAAGAGGCAGTGGAGGAAATGAGGACGGAGTGTCACAGGCAAATGGAGTGCCAGGTTGGTGATTTTGGCTATAAACCTCCGAAAGGACATTCTGGAAACTTCCAGTAAGTGTGGGGCTGCCAGACGTACCAAACAAGCTGTTGAAGGTGGTATTTTGGGTAGTGAGCATGTCTGCAAGAGTGATTAGTAAATTAGAGGCCTCTATAGTGCTTTACTTTGTGTGATATTTAATGAAAATATCATGAAGTTTGTGTTTATAACGCAGTGCCATGTCAGAATTCCTTCTGACAAAGATGATTCCTAGACACTCGCTTTACATTCATTCCCCTTCTCTCCAGACTTCAGCCCCTCAAAAATGAGCTGTAATTAGATAACCTGCTTTGCATTATGAGTAAAGATGAACTATAGGACATTCTTAAGTAAACAAATGTCTTGGTTGATCCTGGTATTGTTATTCTTCAGATGGCTGCAATTAAGGAAAAAAATGAAAGCATTGGAACAGTCTCCTCTTTGAGTGTCCAGCTGGAGGCAACCAAGGAAACGCTCCATAAAGTTGAGGATGACCTTGCAGCCAAACAGATGGAGTTGAAGGCTGCTGGAAAAACAGTGTCAGGTCTGACAGCCTTTGTGCAGGAGAAGGAGAGAGCCCTTGGGGTTACCAGCCAGGAACTCAAGGAGCTGCACTCCCAGCTTGGCAGCAGGATGCAGGAGCTCCAGCATCTAAAGAAGGAAGAGGGCTGCTTACACAAGGTGCAGTCGGGTGTGAGACACCGAAACTGCAGGTGTTGGAGAAGGAAAGAATCAGATCTTCCAAAAGCAAATTGATAACATGACCCAGATCACGGGCCAGGCACAGTCAGGCTGCTGGGGCAATGGAAGTTGAGAAATCCAAGCTTAGACAAGAAATAAATGACTGGAAACTTGAAGTAGAAGAGCTCCAGGTGTGCAGATGGTGCTGTATTTATGGCTCTTAAGGCAGTATGTCTTTTCTGGTTTTAAATCTCTGCCTTAATGGGCTGACACTGGGGTTTTGAAGAGGTTTGGGCAACGTATCTGGAATCCTAAAGCACTAAGTTAGTGGGCAGAGAGGAACAATATGAGGAGGGAGTTGAGCATTGGGAATGAACTGCTACAAGAGGATGCAAATTGTTTTCATATCCTCCACCTGGTAAGGTGTAACATGCTGTAAAACCATCGCATCTGAGTCTGTTGCCCCCTATTTGCCTACATTAGCAATTTTCACACAAGTAATGTCTGTTTTACTCTGTTTCAATTTCTTGCCCCAAAGTGAGATTTAAAGTAATGGTGTCTACACATCTTTTGTGGTTATTTGATCTAATTATGTACAGTACACATACTGTTGTTTCCTGTGTAAGCAGGTTGTAAAGGATGAAAAAGAAGCCAGAATATGGGAAGTGGAGGCCAGACTGAGCGAGCTGGAGCTGGAAAAAGTTCAGCTGGTTAACACATGCACAGAGAGGCTCCAGGCACTTAGAGATGTGAAACGGGAAAAAGATCAGCTCACGGATGAACTCTGGGCTGGTAGGAGCAACCTAGCTGGCCTTGCAGGTAGGGAGCCCCAGCTCAGCTCCCACAGCTGCTAATTTGGGCTGGTGTTAAAAATAAAAGAGCAGCTTGTTCCCTGAATCCAAATATGGCTGCTGGTACAGCAGGAGATTTCCTGCCAGCATGGGGTGGTCGGGTTCCTTCAGGGAGCTGTGTCATGGTGTGGGATTCTGGCACAGGAGGGTGGGAATACAATCTTTATGGCCCATCTCAGTACCCTGAGCAAAAATACTTAAAACTGCATGGCTCCAGAGAGGAAAAAAGATCTAGCAAATCACAGAATGGGAACTTGACCCCTTTGTGCTGAGTGTTATTTAAGAGCAGTAGTGGATCTCTTTAACCTTCTGTGGTCAAATTCTGTGGGGAACCTCTGTTTTTCCACAGGAGCTGCAGGGTCAGGCTACTCATCAGCTTCAGGAAAACTGTGGCATGTTGTGCCTCTGTCCCACCTGCACCATGCTGTCCTGCCACCTTCCCTGCCCCTCAGGTGAGCACTTCCTCAGGATGGGAACCTGCACAGGAAAGCAGCATGTTCCAAAGAGTGAAAATATCGTGGAAATTCTGAATGGGAGAGCATCAGGTTGCAGTGTCCAAGAGTGAATTCTTAACACCAAAGATGAAATCACTTTCTGAAGCTCCTTGTATGTCACGGCCATTCAGGTAGTTTGTTTTGGTGTAAAAACCAACCAGACAATTAAAAAATCCTATGGATTGTGCTAGGAGTTTATTTTATTACTATCACAAATAACATTTATAAACTATTTACGTTGGTTTTCACTCTTTTTCTTTGCTAGTACTCTGCCTGCTGTAAATCACTGACATTTGACAGTGAAAATAGACTTGTACATAGTTTTTGATAAACTTAATCATCTGATTGATGTTTAAATCTTTCTGCACACTGGCCTTCACTGATTTTGACCAGTTTTATCCACTTCCTTGTCCTTCATTTTTGTACATCTGCATTTAGATTTAAATTAAATTCTGGTGGTGTTCTGATTTTTCGTTACAGAAACATCAACTCAAATCTCTTATGCCAAAAAAATAATCTTTTGCAATTTTTTGTATAAATATTGTAAAAGTCTCCAGAAGGGACCTGATCTATCTCCACCAGGTGTTTTCTTTAGTTTTTACCTCAGAATTTGCTGGAGATTACAAGTTAGTACAGACATTTTCCAGTAGTATTTTCTAGTTTGCTTTCTGATGTGGTAGTAAACATTTACATCAAGGAACAAAGGATAGTTGCTTCTGTGAAATCTCTGCAGCATCAGGCTCTCCCACTCTCTTTTCTTTGAGTTAATCATTTTATACTTCTCAGGGTAAAGAAGGAAAAAGGAGTGATTTTTAATGCAGTACCACGGTGAGCACCTAACAGGTTGTAGAAGCACTGGAATTAAAGTCTGCTTTAATCTTCTTGGTTCCTGCATCATTAGTTCCTGTACAAAGGGAAGCAGCTCCAACACTTGAGACAGACCTGGGTGATAGTCTGGTTCCTTAGCTGGAGTGTGGGAAGGGTGGGTTTGGTCTGACCCAGTATCACTTTGACCCATTATGAAGCTGAGGGTTTGTTCTCCACATAAGCCCAGCTGAAACCAGTGTGTTGCCATTGGAAAGTACTTTTGTGGTTTTTTTTCCCCCTAATGAAAATAGGGTAGCAAAATGTTTGCAGCCAGTTCCATCCCCAGGTGGAGCAAAGGTCAGTGGGAGCAGTGCTTTGAACATGCAAAGTGCTGGGTAGTCTGAAAAATCCAGTTTTTACAGAAAGAAAGGGCTCTTTGAACCAGGCCTTTGCCTCAGGTGTTGATCAGTAAAATAAGGATAATCTTGCACTTCATCTGCGTGGTGGCTGTGACAATAAAGGGGTTTCTATCTGCAGACAACTCAGCTGTTACAGGAATGGGTGTCTGGAAAATACCCTGCTCTGCTCCTCTCTCTGTCTTCAGCACTGTGTCTGTGTCCTGTACAGCAATCCCTGGGGGCACAGGGTAAAAATGAGAAAACAAAGAGTAAAGGGGGTAAAGTAAGAGTAAAACATGTGCCTCTGGATGAGTAGAGCTAAGACCTGACAATCAGAGTGCCTGTGTAAATACTTTGTAACTGAATGATTCTATTTCAGATGCCTTCCAAGCTCGACATTTTGAAGGAAGAACCATTGCAGGATCTGGAGAGGATTCTTCAAGAATTAACAAGCTCAGGCAGTGACGTTCCCTCTGTGGATCTCAGTGGCAACGGTGGGAGAAAATCACCTTTAGCAACCCTGAGCAATGCAGTGTAAGAGTAATAGATTTATTTCTGTTTTGTGCTGTGTACTTGTAGTGCCCTCTGAAACTGGGGTCTGGCTCCTCACATGCCTCAGGAGCACTGCAGGATGTCTTTTTGCAAGAAAGTTGGGTTTACATATAGGCTTGAGATAATCTGAAAGCTTCCAAAGCTTCTGTTGTTTGCCAGGTTCCTCAAGTGCTTCAGGTGGTAGGGAAGTAGAAGGTGACTACACTGTTTGCCTCTAGCACTTGCTTTTTGGTGTTTTAGCTTTTATTTTGGTTTAGAACTCCTGTCATCTTGTCCTGCCTCATGTAAATATCCCCTCTCTCATTGCTGAAGCAGGCAGTTATTTTTTTTTTACCAAACACATGATGATGAAGCTGAAAAATCAATACAGCACATACAACACGTGTTTCTAATCCAGAACATGAGGATACTTCACAAAGAAAAATATGATTCATGGATTTTGACTAGGATTAAATCTAAACTGCTGCTGGAGAGGCTGCTATTGCAAGCATGGTGGAAAAGGATATTTCAGGACAGTGAGAAGTGCTTTCACTTAGCTGAGTAACCTGCTTCTTATAGTACTCATTTGAGATTCAGTTTCTAAGGCTTATTTAACAGCCTCAGTCCTGAGCTTGTTTGTGTTGCTTTATTCATAATGCTAAAAGCTTGCTGGGAATTGCAAAACAAAGCTGTGGTGTTGCTTTCATCCCTCTGAGAAAGAGCTCTGTAACTTACTTACATTGTTTGCTTTTCATTTCCATGTATAAGACCTGGAGATTCCATGTGAGAGCTCCGCATTCTCACTGTGGAGCCTGGCTGGCATGGCCAAAACAGCATAATCCTTCCTTGTGCTTTCAGGAATCCTCCCTGCTCACACCCTGCAGATCTTCAGTCCCAAGATGTTTCCCTGCCCTTTACACCCCTGGGTAAGTTCTCACTGGCTGCATTTGTGCCATATTGATGTCAAAGTGGAACATTACAGAATAGTACCAAAAAATATAGTTCAAACACAGTGTATTTTCTTGGGACGTGTTACAAAGTTTCTATTGCACTTAACTACAAAATCTGTATCTTGTTGCAAAGCAGCTCCTGGGAGGCTGATACCAGCACACCCAGAAGGGATAACTTCCATGTTAGTCTTGTGTAATTAGCATGGATAATGTTGTCATGTTTTTGGAACGTCAGTTTAGGCTCTTGAGTTCTACTTTCGGGTATTTGGATGTGCTTTTGAGAGGAATCAGCCCATTGCAGAAACTGTTGATTTCCTTCCAGATACTGGGTGGTCAGAACCTTTTCAGCTGTGCTGATGTGGATTTAGTGACCTAAACAGAAATATAAGGATGTGGCTTTGAGCAGCAGGGTTTGAAGATACTAATCTTAGCCACCTTCTGGGTTTTTTTTGCCCTCAGATTACCGATTCTGTGGAAATTGCCTGCAGACACTGATATATTTTATTGTTCTCTGTTAGAATTTAAGCCACTGTGCTTTGGAGATAGGCTGGCATCCCTCTTTTGTTTATTGTGAGGAGTAACTACTACAGGTACTGTCTTTATATACCTGAGTATTAAAGGAAATCTCTTGGGTAGTTACTGTCAGCCATCTGCAAGGAATGCTGGCTCTCCTGAAGGTGCAGCCACAGCCCCCAGTTAGGTACATCCAGTCCCATTTCCTGATCCAAGAGTTTGGCTGCCAGTGCCTTTCCTTCTCTCAGCTCTCTTCAAGGAGGTTTATTCTGCGATAAATGAAGTGTGACCAAAATGTAGCATCTAATTAATGTATTAAGCAGGGAGGAGATAAATTCCACACACAACTACATTTAAGGCCTAGTAAATTGCTTTGTTTGGGAATAAATAAGACTGTAGGAATTCCCAACATCAATAATTGTATGATTGTGGTGGTTCCTGTAACATGTTTAGTAAAGTTCTGGGTCTGACTGGAAATACTAGTGTAAATTTTATTTTCTGTGAACTCTGATTTAAATGGAATGTTTAGATAATTGATAGTTGCATTATTATTATTAATTGTATTATTTATGATAATTTTTTCCCCTAGCTTCTCAGCCCATGGAAAGTGGCGAGCATGCACCAAGGAGGCTACAGAACAAGATGGAAAGTCTGGAAGACCTGGTGGAATTGTTACAGATAGAAAACCAAGGTGCCAGAATTTACCAAAAACGTTCCTATTTTAGTAAAAAAAGCCCCACTCTCCAGAAACTTTTCTTAGCACCTGCCAAAGCACTTTTACATCTTTTACTAGCACACGCAGGTTTTACTACCAGTCCCCACGTGTCCATTATCCTGCTTCTGGGAGATTAATCAGATTAACTCCACAGTGCCCCTTAACTCTAATAAGCCTCAAGATCGTTGACGAGTCAGTTGTGGCAGCTGCTCGGGGGTGTCCTCATGGGCTGCCATGTCCAGTTAAGGGAAATTTTTAACGAGCTGATGACGCCAGGTCCTCTTGACTCCAAAAACATAGCTCCATGAGCTCCTGAGGTGGCAGGATGCCAAGTGAGATGGCACTTCTTCTCTGTGCACTATTTATTATTGCATATTCCAGTGGCTTCCCCTTTACCCTTTTAAGTCTTGTTGTGTAGATTTGGGAAGTTGTCATTCCCCTACATCATCGAGTGTATATATGTGTCAGGGACATACAAGTGATGTAGATAAAACACATAAAGAATTGCACACTAAAGCTGCATTTGTAAGGGCTTGATACGTACAGCGTAACATGTGGGAGGATATTTGGAAGCTTCAGGTGCCTGCACTTCAGGCCTCAATCTTTTGAACATAAGGTGCTGCTCAGCTAATCTCTTCTTGCTGCTATTTTCAGCCACGTCACCAGTGATCAGAACTCAGGAGGTGAAGACAAAGAAATCCAAGGAAAAGGAGAACAGGCTCTCCAAGGGAAGATGTTAGTCATTCCTTTCATGTAGGTACCTTGTGTTTAAAATGTGTTATATTTTTTAAAGATAAATAATAAAAGTTCTTCCAGTTTTTTAAGTCTTATTTAGAGTTTTTACTTTTAAGTGAGCAGGAAGTACAGAGGAGTAGAAATACATGCAAGTTAAAAAAAACCCTGACCTTGAACACTTCCAGGGCTGGGGCAGCCACAGCTTCTCTGGGCAACCTGTGCAAGGGCCTCACCTCCCTCACAGGTTTGAATTTCATCCTATACCATGATTTCTTTAAGCAGAATGGACTCATCAAGTTTTAGTTGGAATCTTGTATGGGGAGAAGAAATTAGTGAGTTGTTCCTAAGCCGTCCTCCATTATTGTTGGCAGTATTTTAATCCAGGTGATTTTTTAAATATATTTTCTAATTATTTTTCCACTGTTTCTGATCATTTTTGCAACATGTTGCAAGCTTAGTCAAAATATAAATAAAGGCATCTTCCCTTTCCTAGGAATCATTTGCAATGAAAATGAAAGGATCGTTTTAGGTGGCTTGTGTATCACAGTCTGGGCTTGCCATACACATTGGACAAATCTACCCAAATTTTCCTAAGAAGAGGGTCAGGGTTAGGGTCAGGTGTAGAGAATAAGAGCCTCCAGCAGGTTGGGAAAGGTCACAAGTCTCAGTTGTGTTCAAGCAGCCAAGCTAAAAAGAGTTTCAGAAGCTGCAGCCCTGTGCCAAGGGCAGGGAGCAGGTGGGGACATCAGAGAGCCAGAGCAAAGGAAGAGACATCTGCCAAGCAAAAAGGCAGCTTAACATCCTTTTGCTGGAAACCTGTAGAGTTGGGAAAAGTCTGAGATTCCTCCCTGCCACCAGCAGCAGGCAAAGAATTGGCCTAGGGAGGCAGCAGGCTCGTAGACTCTTAGAGCAGCTGCACATCCTGGACTCTGCAGCCCTAACAGCACTCTGTTATTCCATGGCACGCAGGTGGATGGCACAGGAGGACACCCCGGATGACAGCCAGCCCCTAAGAGAGAAAACCTAATGCCAGGCTAATCTGTGGAGAGACTCCAAACAGTAAGTTTAACTCCAGAGAGAATGTGGGATGGGCGCGGGTTTTGCCAAGCGAGCCAGGTGCCACGCGCGTTTCTGCAGGAGACTTGGAACTGCTTTATGCCCAGTCCCCTCAGGCTGTGCCTGCACAGCATCCAGCTGCAGCACTCAGCATCTGTACACCAAACTGCTTCACAGGCAGGAGCAGATTGCATTCCACCTAAAAGTAATCAAGTTGTTTAATTTATCACAAGTTTGTTGTCAGGGCTCTGTGGTTGCAGGCTTTGCTAAGCTGTGAGCGAGACAGTTTATTATTTGCTTAGAGATCTCCTGAGGCCACACAGGAATGACAACAACAAGTTGTTTCTCACATGTAGCTGCACTAGTCTCACAGCCAGGACATTATATTAGACAGGTATTAGCTGTTCCAGCATCATTATTTTTATGCAGCAAGGCAACTTTGTTTAAGGCTACCTCAATGCTTGAGTGAATATATTGTTCAGTAATGAGAAAACACCTCTGTGAACTTGGAGAAAATACTAATCAGCTCCTCCAGAAATACTGAAATCTGGACTTACTTTCTTTCACTATACCAATACTATTTAATTTACATAGCACAGGCCCTGCTGAGCAAACAGTGAGGTGAACAGCATAATAATTTAGGGGTGGTAGCAGAAGTTCAGTGCAGGTCTCTCTAGAAACCTCACTTGATCATTCAGCAAGATGATACAGTGGTGAGCACTATGAGTTGTCTGTGGGATCAAAGCGCAGGGTGTTTAATTAAAAAAAATAAGCTGCTCTCAGTTTGAGAAAAGTCTCAGGGTTGGTCTCTGACATGTTCATCTCTGCATTAGAGAATCTATTCTAGAGTTGGTTAAGTGGCTTTCTAGTGAATAACTTAATCTAATAGCACAGTTAATCTCCTCAGACAAGCCTCGAATGTGTGTATAAATACGCTCAAACGGCAGCAGTGCTTTTTGAGTTGACAGTATCTCACTATTTGAAGAGCTTGCATTAATGGGAAAGAGATGTATAATCACCTTGAAATTACATGTTTTGCTTTGACTTCAGTGATTTCAGAGATCAGCTTCTGTTTCAGCTGTACCTCTGTGTATCAGGTATATTGTCACCTTCAGATTATTGTTAGAAAAGCCAAGCGCAGAGGATGAATTTGAGGTTGCTTTACTTGAGAAAATGAAAACTTAAGTGTTTGTGCTGAAAACTCAGATTTGTGCTGAAAAGCCTAGTCTTAAATAATTACAAGTTTCAGTAAGTATATGCTAACAATACTGTGGTATTTTTCTTCAGTAGGCTGAATGTGCCACCTGATTGTGTTGCAGCCAGAGCCCTATTCCCTAGCTATCCCAGCATTCCAGGGTTTTTCTAAAGCCTGCTCCCACCCCTGACAAAGTAATTCATTAAGCCCAGACAGTCCTATCTGACCTTTGCTCTCCCCTCAGCAGGAGAGGAGCTGTCTGCCAAGCCTTTCATTTGAGCCGATATGCTTGCTGGACAGTAGGGGGTAGAGGATGAACTATTTTGGGGTTCAACCTTTGTTATTCCCAAGAGTGCTGGCTGCCTTTCAGCAGTTCCTTAGCACTTACATTTTGGATCAAGCAGCTCACTTGGGTCAGAGTTAGCAAAATGAGTCACGTCACTGGTCAGCTGGTACCAGGCTGTCAATCTGAAAGTGTTTATTGTTTACTTAATACAGTACATAAATGAAAACACTTAGGTTCCTATTACAGTGTTGGTAACCGCACTTCCCAGCATGCTTCCCAAGCCATTGGCACCAAGGTGCATCCCATAAGCCCAATCAAAGCAACACAAACTCAAGTCCGTGGTCCAGATTTACCTGGACAGGCAGGCGCTCGGAATGCTGCTCGTGCCTTCTCAGCCTACCTTGGATCTCTTCAGCGTGTGTTCGCAGTTGATTTTTCAGGTTGCCAAATGTTTTCCTAAAGGGGATGGCAGAGATCTGCTGCTCACAGGTTGGTTTGGCCAGGTTCCACACAGGATTTCCAGAGCTCTGCACTTGAGAGGGTCTCCTACTGAAGAAGGGGAGCCCCTGCTAAGGTTTAGGGGCTCGGTGACTCATCTAGGCAGGTTTGCCACTAGATCAGCAACTTCCAACATCCCGTTAATGGTATCCCCACCACTGATGAACAATCTGATCTTCGTGTTCAGTCACTAGGGTTCTATTACCGCATTCTTCCCAGCGTCTGACCTTCCCGTTCTCCACCAAGATAAATTTCCACTCCAGTCTGGTGTCTGCGGGCAGACTGATGGACTCTGACCAGAAGCCGTCCTTGTCGCGCTTGAGAGGAACGTAGCTGTGCCACTGGCCAAGACACTCGTGGTCCCCGGTGACACCGATGAGCTGAGCCTCGGAGTGTGTGATGTAGTGCACACGGAAAGCCACGTGGATGTTCTGGAACATGGGGGGCACGGCTGCAACCCTCTTTGCTTTCAAGTCCCCATCGCAGCAGTCTCCTTGTTCCCATTCCCTGCTGTCGGAGTCTTCCACGCTGCCATCCTTGCCGGCCTCCCCCTCGACCAGGTGCTCAGAAACAACTTCCCACTCTTCATGGTCCAAGTCCCTGCTCTCGGCTGGCTGACTCGACTGCTCCTCTGCTTCTGGCCTTACAGTCATCCTCAGAGGCTCCTGCCAAGTTCATCACGCACCATCCGTCACTTGCCTGTCCCACCTGGGCTCCCGGTTCCCCTGCCTGGCTGCCGGCCGTATCATCTGCATGCTTCCTGGCGTCGGTGGCATCCTGCTTCGGGATCTCCACCTCCACAGGTTGACCCCAAACTGCGCCGCTCTGGACGTGGTTGATCTCCTCCCTCGGAGCAGCCGCCAGGTCCTCTCCTGGCTTCGGCGCGCCGGGCACGGCAGCCGCGACCTCCCGCCGCACCGGCTCCGCGCTCGCCGCGGCATCCCCTGCAAGCGACATGCGGGGAGGAGGACGGGGATGGTTAAGCAGAGGAGCTGCAAGCCGCAGCCCCTCCGAAGGCCGCGCCCCCGTCCCCTCCGCGGTTACCTGTGGCCGCCGGCTCTCCGCTGGCCCGCCGGGGCCCCTCTCCGCCGGCCGCCGCCGCCTCTCCGCCCTCCGCCTCGCCTCTGCCGTCGCTGCCGCCGTACCAGAACCATGCGAGGACGGCGGCCAGCAGCCCCACGAGCAGCGCGGGCAGGAGCCCCGCGGGCCAGAGCCCCGCACCCAGCCAGCCCCAGGCGCGGGGCTCGGCGGGCAGCGCGGCGGCGCCGGGCGGCCGCACCACGGGCGGGCCGCGGTCGCGGGCCATGGCCGGGCACTCGCAGCGAGAGGGGCCCCGACCGGGGCCGCCCCCACGGCAGCGCCTTAAACAGCGCCCCGGCCCCGGGGAGGAGCCGCCGCCGCGGCGGCGGGCGGGGCCGCGCGGGGGAAAGGCGGGTCGGGATAAACTCCAAAAGTCGGGGGGAAAAGTTTAAGGGCTTTGCCCTTCTCTGCCTTCTCTCCCGTTTTTTTCCCCTTTCTCTTTCCTGGCTCTCCACAACTTAGCCGTGCTGCCAGTTAAACCAATGCAAAACTGAAGGGAGCTGACAGGTAAAAGGTGAGGACTGAATGCGTGAGGTTCTTTGCTATTTTTTTGCCTGAAAGCAAGCACTGGAGCTACAGCAACTGCAGATTATGAAGTTTCACAGAATCACAGAATTCGTAGGGTTGCAAAGCACCTCTGGAGATCGTCTAGCCCAAGGCAGGGTCACCTAGAGCAGGTTTAACTCCAGCAGTGCTGGTGGCCTTAGATGCTCTAACGGGTGTGCCGAGGGTGACTGATATGTTGGTACATTTAATGCCTGTGCTGATGAAAATCCAGGCTGGCTATCCCTGAGAAGTGCGATGAATTCAAGTACTAATTCTGTAACTCCTGCATTGTACTCTAGTGATTACAACTGGATTCCTTGACATTGCCCTGCTCTCCTGGCTTCTGTATTTTGCTCAGGAAGCTTTTTGGATTACCAGGACTTCAGAGTCCATTAGCGCAGAGGGTATTTTATGTTCATTTTAATTTACCTTCACTTTACTACGCTTGAAGTGATATGTCAAACTATTTCAAAATTAAGAGGGTATACAGGTAGGTCTTACTAGGAACCTGAGAAATTTAGTAAATGCAACTTGGGACTTTGTCTTTTGAATTGGTAGTTCTGGAGTGACAACATGTAAAAATGTTTATAACACCAGAGATTAACACCAGGGAAGGAGTTGAGGGGGGCAGTTCCACTCAGTTCTGATTGCTGCCTTTTTTTTAAATCCATTATCTGACCAAAGGTGTTGCCATGACTGGATCTCTAAGGCCCGCTGATGAGATTTTACTCACTATCTCATTAGAAAAGACAATGGCTAAGTGGATGTCCCAGTAAGTCTGTTTCCAGTGTGTGAACTTCTTAATCTCTCAGTGTCATTTAAAGCAGCGCTACTGCAGTTTATCAGGACAGCAAATGTCACTCGAATTTATAGAAGCACAAGTGTGCAGCCTCCGTGGTGCGGTTCCCTGGCTGATCTGGAAGAGGGTGTCCTGTGCAGATTCACAGAATTCATGATCTAAATATTTTTCCTTTCTTTGCTTACCACAGTAGCTCAGGCACGGTCTCCAGAGTGCTCCCCCAGCAAAGTGCTGAGCTGGTGCGTAAGTCAAAATGTCTATTTTGGTCCCTGGACGTGTGGGATGTGTCCTGGCATGCGCTGAACGTGCACTGCTCACATCTCCTGCTCGCTGCTGCAGGAGAGGCAGGAGCTGAGGAGCCGGGACCTGCCTGGGCACTTTCTCTGTGGCTGCGGGTTTGGGTGCACTCTCTTTTACCACTGTCGGTGCTTCAAGGTGCAGCTCAGCCTCGCTGCTTAAAACAGACCCTTGGCTGTAATGAGTTGTGCTAAATACTGAAACTCTGCGTAGCAGGTGGTATCTTGGCAGTTTACTTATATTGCTTTTTTCTAGCCTTCAGAACAGAGCCAGTCGTCCCCTGCTCTGTGTCTGTGCACCACCCTGCTCAGCTGGGATTGCCAGTTCGGGCACCCACGCGCTGCTGTTCCGTAAGTACTATGTGTGCACTGCAATTTAAACTTCCCAGTCGCCTCCCTGCAGCAGAGCAGACAAAACCCATTAATCACTGTAGCATTACACTAAAAGAGCATCATTCTGCCAGCCCTCAGCACAGATGAAGAGGTAGTGCTTGAAGCTGTTAACCCCACATGTCTTTCCTGAAACATT